GGCACTGGATGATTTTAAGGTACCTTCCAACCCAAACCAGTATGGCATTCTGTGACCTTCCTTTATAAGGCATTTCATGGAGCCATTTGAATATTTTTGGTTTTCTTTCAAGGAGACTTCTTTTTGTCTTCAATTGCCTTCATTGCTTTCATTTTATACCACATTATAAATCCAAGCACAATATTAAATGCCCTCAAATCTAATAAAAACTTCAATTTTCTCTCTATATTAAAAAGCTGTTTAACTGAGCCAAAACTACTTTGGAAGTGATCAGATTTAATTTCAGGGGAAACATCAATATTCAGCATTATGTTCCTGTTCAGAAAGGTGGACTCCTTTAAGTAGCTGAGCCCTCTCTGCTCAGGTGAGCTGTGTCCCCACTTTGAAGACACTGGCAGTAAAAATTTAAGTGACAAGAGAGTCCAAAAAGATTAGAGAAAGCCTGAGAAATGAAGGGAGAGTTACAGATCATGATTAACTTAACCGAAGTCCTTCTTCCAGGAGTCAGGGTTGTTGGTCCAGTGCTCCCTGACCTCCCTTCCAAATGCCTGTTGTCCTTTCTGCCTTCAAAGCCCACAGCAGAAGCAGCATCCTGTGAAAGTGAAAGCCCAGTGGGACATTTCCCTGGTGTTCAATGCAACCACAGAATGATTTGCAGCTGCACCAGGGAAGGATCTGGAGCAGCTGAGGGAGCTGGAAAGAGGCTCAGCCTGGAGAAAAGGAGGCTCAGGGGGGCCCTTGTGGCTCTGCACAACTCCCTGACAGGAGGGGCAGGGAGGGGGGGTCGGGCTCTGCTCCAGGGAACAGGGACAGGAGGAGAGGGAACGGCCTCAGGCTGGCCCTGGGAAAGCTTGGACTGGATATTAAGGAACATTTCTTCATGGAAAGGGCTGCCCAGCCCTGGCACAGCTGCCCAGGGCAGTGGTGGAATCCCCATCCCTGGAGGGGTTTAAAAGCCATGTGGCACCTGGGGACATGGGCAGTGGTGGCCTTGGCAGTGCTGGGTCAACTGAGTTGGGCTCAATAGCCTCCAAGGACTTTTCCAATCTAAATGATTCTGTGATTGTCAGACAAACCTCCTCCCTTCTTCCCTGGACTACAACCATCATTGCCTTTTTTTTTTTTTTTTTTTTTTTTTTTTTTTTTTTTTTTTTTTTTGTATTCTTTTTTCTCTTCAAGCCCAGAGGAGAACATTAAAAAAATGACCCGGCAGAAAACACAGCGATTTCCAGGGTTAGGAAGAGGGCTCCCCAGGGCAGTGGAGACCATGTACTGAGCCACATGGGGCCCAAAGCACCTCATTTTCTCGGTAAAACATCCCACTGCTGTGTCTGTGAGGTTAGTCCTGCCTTTCTCATTGCCAACCCTTTACCTGGGCTGTGCTTCTGGGAGGGTTCAGGGGGGCTGTGGAAGCAGTGGGGCTCACACGGGTCAGAAAACTTCTTCATCCCTTTTCCTTCCTCGAATAGAGCCGTTCCCCAGTGTTTCCCCCGAGCACTGCAGCAAGTGCTGGAGACACAAGAGGGCAGGCACAGGCTGTGCAAAGGAGAGAGGGCTCTGCACAGCCTGGGCCTGCCCCCTTGCCAGCCAGCCTGGCCCACTCCACTTCCCTCCATCTCTGCAAAGCAGTGAAAAAAGGGATTTTCCTCAGGGATATGTCTTCTGGCCCTGCCTGCCTCATCTGCTGAAACAGATTTGAAGCTGCATGTTCTGTGAGGAGCATTCAGGGGCTGAGACTGGGCTGTGAGCTCCCATAGCAGCTCCTCTACCTGCCAGAGATCCTCTGCATTCCCAGGGCGTTCCCTAGTGCAGGTGTCCTTAGCTGGGCTCTGCCACCTCAGGGGATTTATGGGACCAGCTAGGCTGCCTTGTCCTCCCTCTACATGTCCCCTTAGAGGGGTTGTTCACAGGGATGGCCAGAGGGGCCATCAGCCCTTACCAGCCTTTGCATCCCATGTCCCCCACCCACAGCCCATCTCCAGCCACTGCTTTCCTTGGCTCCCAGGACCTCATGGCTGATGGCAGCTCTTGGGCACAGCCTGAGCCACCAGCCCTCACCAGAGTGTGACAGTGCTCAGAGCAGCTGTGGCTGGCCCATCCCTGGCAGTGCCCAAGGCCAGGTTGGACAGGGCTTGGAGCATCCTGGGATAGCGGAGGTGTCCCTACCCATGGCAGGGGGTGGGATGAGATGATGCCTTCCAACCCAAACCATTCCACGATTCTGTGATTGGTCTCCCTGGTTTGTGCCCATCCCCAGGGGCAGTGGAGCAGAGCTGGTGCTGGAGCCAGTGCCAGGCAGCTCTGCTGGGCATGGGGCTGTTCCCTCCAGGCTGCAGCCAAAGCTCCCTACCCAGTTCAACAATAAAAAGTAGCAGATGGTTTATGGTGTGAATTACAGCAAAGGGGGTTGCAAAGGCAGCACGCATGGGGAACAAATGAAAGCATTAACACACCGGCCAATGCAGGTGTCAGAAGGGAGGGGGATTTGTAGATGGGCTGGGAATAGGTAGGAAAGGGAGCCCATTCGGGCCAGGAATTTTTTAGAGGGGAAAGGTCTTGTCTCTGACCATGCAGCGGTGATGAGCACAAAGGGAGACAGGCAGTGAGGTCTGGAGCCAGCAGCAAGAGTGTTGTGGCCACTCTGTCTTCAGCTGCTTTCATTCTGGGCACACTCAATTTAATAATTGGGTGTGCTCAGCTCTGCCTTCTCCACTTTCCTGGAAAGAGAGTGCACAAGGTGCACGTTTGTGCATCTCTTCTTGTCTGAATTTCTGTGTAAAGCAACACAGGAAGGAACACAGCTCTGTTTAGCCACCAATGGACCATATTGAGAGCCTGGCCTCACTCACAGGCACAGATGCAGAAGGAGGGACCATATTTTGCATTTCAGGGCTGATGTGGATTTGTACAAGATGAAACCATACTCTGGAGGCAGCTCCTGCTCCCTCTGCACCCCTGCTATCCATGACAACACACTGGAGCCTTCTCCAGTACTTGAAGGAGGGTTCAGCTTCAGGGCAGCAGCCCTGTGTACCGAAAAGTCCTCCTGGGAAATCCAGCTCAGGGCTCCCAAGTCCTTTGTCCTCTCTTTGCCTCAGATTCCCTGGTGTAAAATTGAGAAAGCAGTGTTGTAGCAGGGCTGGTATGGGTAGCTCAGACTGAGAGATATTCCCATAGGAGCATCCATGCTGGGGGATGCCACAGCTGGGCTTGCCTTTGGCTGCCAAGGCCAAATGGAGACAGCAAAGCTGAAATTATCTCTGGGTGAAAATCGTCAGGGGGAGGACAGGATGGCTTATGGCCTGGGGACAAGAGTCTTGGGGGTCCATCAGTGATGTCAAGCACCTGAAAGGTGAAGGGGCCAAGTGGTGCAAATAATCTGTTGTCATGGTAACAGCACTAAGGGTTAAAAATCCAGAAAATCATTTTATCCCATATGTTCTTTAAAGGTGGCTGAGATCGTGACAGGCTCTGCGTGTGCTTCAACCCTCTGCTTCCATCTCACCCCAGCTAGGAAAGTCACATTCTGGGTGCTTCCATGCTCTGGGACCCTCACCTGCTGTAGGGCTGGGTGCTGTACAGAGACGGAAATCCTGGGTTTAATTCTGGATCTGAAAAAAAAAGCAAGCAAAACCCCTGCTGTTCATGGAGCCGATATGGAAGGGAGTTACTCTGGCTCTGCTGAGACCCAGCACCTCACACCTCTGGTATGGATCCCCCTCATTCCCACTCCTGCAGTCGCAGCACGGATCCTCTTCTGTACCAAGGCATCGTCAGAGGATCTGCAGCATCTCCTGGGTAGAAAACCCGGTTTTCCTCCCCTCCACGCCCTCCTCCTCCCCAGTCTCCCGGCTGAATGCACATCTGGAAGCGCCTTCCCCAAACACATCCGTCACAACTGCTTTCCAGCGGCGAACCGAGCATCTGGAGATCCTGCTGGTTCGGAGTCTTCGAGCCTCGGGGGGCTCGGGAGCTGCTGGGCACAGCACCCCCGGCCCAGCCGAGACACAGCCACGTCCAGACTGAGCCCAGGCTGGAGCTGGGGGTCCCGGGGCGCAGCTCCCTCTCCCTGCCCTGCCGCGGGGCTCCGGATCCATGTGGGACTCACGGCTCCCAGCGCTTCTCCCTGGAAGTCCTGCGGGGAAGGAAAGCTCTGAGACAGACAGAGGAGATGAGAGATGCTACAGCCCCTCCGCTCAGGTCTAGCCCTGACTGGGTTTTGCTCGGAGCTGCCGTGTGAAGGAGAAGCGGGTTCATGCCACTGCTTTGTAATCTGCGTGCGTGCCTGCATGGAGCTGAGCAGCAATCCTCTCCTTTTCTTTTATTTTTCAGCTTTTCCTTTTAATTTTTAGCCTTTCCTTTTCCCTCCCCCTTTTGCTTTCCTATTGCTCTCGCTGAATTAGCTGCCCACCTTTCCTTTGCAAATCACACGGGCAGCACAGGGTGGTGTTTTCTGCCCAAAATGGAGAGGTGGGGAGGAGGAGAGATGCCTAAATACTGCAGTCGCGTCCCCGGAGCTCGGGGAGCATCTCCCGATCGGGCTGAAGACATCCGGGGAGCAGCATCCTCGGCTTTCCGCACTAGTTAACAGCCTGCGAGTTGCCTCCACTTGTTTTAGGCTCGCTCGCTTAATCTCAGCTCCCTTCGGCGTGTGAGCCTGTGTGTGTGTGCAGGGGGAGGACTTTATTACCATTGGCTCAGCTTTCGCTGCCCACCCACATCTCTTCCACATCACCTTGGTGTCTCCCTAAATAAAACCAGCCCTCCTTATCGCACCGAGGAAATCAAGAACGAGAGTTTGAATGGATTTTATATAAATATTTACCCCGACGAAGCTACTGCTGAGCTCCTGGGATAAACTCGCAGCAGCTGGTCTCACTCTGCTTCCCTTGCCCGCCCCTAAAAGGGCTTAATTACTTTGGGGAGGAGAGGAGAGAGATCCAGATCCCAGTTCTTGCTCCAGACTGACCCAAAAAGCAGGACCAGGATTTAAATGAACGATGGATCTGAAGGACAGCGCCAGCGAGGGCAGCATGGGCAGCCTGCAGCCTTCCAGCATCCAGATTTTTGCCAACACCACCACGCTCCATGGGATCCGTCACGTCTTCGTCTACGGGCCGGTGACCATCCGGCGCCTGCTCTGGACCTTGGCCTTTGTGGGCTCTCTGGGTCTCCTCCTGGTGGAGAGCTCGGACAGGGTGGCCTTTTACTTCTCCTACCAGCATGTGACCAAAGTGGACGAGGTGGTGGCGAACAGCCTGGTGTTCCCTGCTGTCACCATCTGTAACCTCAACGAGTTCCGCTTCTCCCGGCTCACCACCAATGACCTGTACCACGCTGGGGAGCTCCTGGCTCTGCTGGACGTCAACCTGCAGATCCCCAACCCTCACTTGGCTGACCCTGCTGTCTTAGCCATCCTCCAAGAAAAGGCCAACTTTAAGCAGTATAAACCCAAAGTTTTCAGCATGCAGGAGTTCCTGGCACGGGTTGGTCATGACCTAAAGGATATGATGTTGTACTGCAAGTTCAGGGGGCAGGAGTGCAACCACAAGGACTTCAAAACTGTGAGTATAAGCAGACACTCTGCTTTTCTCTTCTCTGGGCATGTGGACCATGGTGCTGCAGAACCAGGACAGCCCTGGAGGTCACTGGCCAAGCTGTGTGGTGTGATGAGGCTGTGGCTGCCAGGCTCTGGCATGGCAGAGGAGGAGCAGGAGGAAGCCTGTTGAGCTGAAGTTTGTTGGAGTCCTAATGGGGGTTTTGTGGGGCCAGACCTGCAAGGGGATTGTAGCAGTTCCAGCCTCCATCCTGCATAAGGCCCATGGCTCCCAGTGTCTGCCTGGGGTCAGTTGGGTGCTGCTGAGCATCACAGGGGATCTGAGGGTCTCTTGCCATGGATGTCAGCCAGCTGAAGGAAGCAGAGAGGGCTGGACAGAGCCAGCAAGAAGAGCAGGTGCTCAGGGCTGGTCTGAGCAGTATCCAGTTGTATTTCTCCAGGTGTTTGCAGGTTTGCTGGAACTGTGGAAGGGGAAATTTTTGCTCTTGTTTCTGGTATTCATGCCTCATAAATCCTTGTTTGCTGTGGAATCTGCGTAGCAGCTGGGTACCTGCCTGGTGCCGTGTCCTTCCTGTGCTGTGTTAGATAAAAGGAGGGGAAAGAGGAGGAGGAGAGGAAAAGCAACTGAGAGGTTGAGCTCTGATCCCAGTCTGCTCTGAGATGGGGGAAGATGGAGTGAGCTGGGTACTTGAGCATCTTGAGGGAAGCAGCTGCTGCTGAGTTTCCAGCTTCTGGCTGGCACCCTAATGGCAGTGCAGGCTGCCCTGGGTGCTCTGGTGGTAAATGTGTCATTGCAAAATAAAAATTACTAGGAGGTTTTCTGGATGAAGTGATGTCCCTCTGTGCTGCTGGAGCAGGTGAAGGGACTGGGAAGGGGGCTGCAGAGGGGGCTGAGCCCCATCCTGGCCGAGCTGGGGGGTGCTGGGGTCTGGGCTAAGTCCCACTGTGCTCTCAGGCCATGCTGGGCAGTGCCTTGGCTCTGAGATCTTGAAGTCAGGAATGTTACAGGTTTCAGGTGGTTGTTTCTTGGGAGTGCTCCTGCTTGTTCTGCTAATTACGGTGTATCCTGCGGTGATCAGGTCCTGGGCAGGGTTTGTGATCTCTTAATTCATCAGCAGAATCTTTGTCTGGTTTCGGGAGAAGGGAATATTTTCTGTCTGTGCTGCTTTGAATCTCTGAGCAAACGAGTCCAACTGACCCCATCTCCAAAGTCATTGCCATCCCCTGGACTGTGCTCTCTTTATGCCTCTGAGCAGGACCATAGAATTTTATGCCTCAGTTATTGCCTGTGCATAACTCCGATGCCGTGCCTATGCAAACTGGATATCCAGGCAAACCATTCCCTCGTTTCTGCTCCCTGGGCAGGCATGAACAGGGGTTGGGTCATCCAAGTTGAAGGAAGGCATCAACCACATTCCAAGGAGAGGAGCTTGCTAAAGAAAAGCCAAGTGTGAGCAAGTCTGGAGAATGAGATAAAAAAGGAGACACACATGCAAAAGTCCAGGGAACAGAAGAGTTTGGGAGTGAGGTCAGATCCCAGGAGGATGGACAGATCTCCCTTGACTGTAGCAAAGTGTGGGGAGCGGGAGGTGTTCTGCCTGTGGACTTGCCAAAATTGAAATAAGAACCAGCCAAAAGCAAAAACGTCAAAGCCAGGGAGCAACCAGCACTTTTAAAGCATCTGCAGGGCTTAAAGAAGGACTTTAAAAAGCAGGCCTGGTTCTCAGGGAAGACAGGAGCTCTGGGCAGCCCCCCTGGGACCCAGAAGGGTGTCACCCCTGGCTATTGAGTTTTTGAGATAGTTGCTTCTGAAACAAAGATTTTTAAATTTTCTTTTCCATGAGGGATACTGTAGTTTCCAGAAAGACAAACATTTCCTGTCTGCCAAATAAATGCTCTGCTAAAACAGATCAGGGCAAGCTAGAAAGAGACAGGATATTACAGACTGACAGTGCTTGTCCTTGTCAAGGTGGGAGATTGAGTGCAACAATTCAGCCCATTCTGCAAAGCAGCTCCTACCTGAGCCAGAAGACAACATTGTCTCTCACAGAGGCAACACTTCAGTCTCACTGACTCCACTAATCCCCCAGGTTATGGAAATCCCAGAAGCAGCGCTCAACAGGGACACAACAACTGTTTTCCTTCCAGATTTTATTTCTCAGAGGCAAAAGGCAGGAAAAGTGTCTGTTTGAAGGATGAGTAGGTATTTCCACAGGGAGAATGCTGTAAAGGTATGCGAGCGGCCTCCAGGCTCAATCAGAACTTCATGTCCTGGATGAATTTTGCATTTAATCACCACCAACCTGTTGCAGTTGCACACGGGCTCAGTGACAGCACATCCATCCTGCTGAAGCACCCACTGGAGAAGAGTCATCACTGAAGCCTGATTTGTTTCCTGAAGGGAAACAGGGTGTAAATCCCAGGGCAGTTCTGCAATACATCAGCAGAATGAAGAACTACAAAGTTTCTATACACACTTCCCAAATTCTGGCAGCTGGGAGCAGAGAAGGCAGGAGCTTTGCAGCAGAGGGCTGCACCAATCAGGAACTCTGCAATAAGGTGCTGTTGGAGGAGCCAGTGCTGTGCTGCCTCTGGGCAACTCTGCCTTCTGGTGCATGGGGGGTTTTGTGTGCAGGGTGTCCCTGAATAAAGCCCAAAGTGCTGCTGCTGCATGGAGAGCAGGAGCTAGAATGGCAGCATCTTGGCACTTTGAAAACACTTGACTTGACCCTCCTTCCTCCTCCAGTGCCCTGTTTAAATCCTCTGTCACTGCTTTAATAACAGGATTTGAGCTGTTTGAGTGTTTTCCCTACACTTCCTGTTCCTTCTCCCCCTAATACCTCTCAGATAACATTTCCCATATTATGGTCTGCTCACTGGAGTGATTCCCCACAGCTTTTCTGCAGAAATACCCCAAAGGGAACAGCCAGGTCTTAGCAGGATGTGCTGATCCTGCACTCGTGTTGCCACTCACAGAACAGCAGAGAAGATAATGCAGAGCTCTGCTGTAGGCAAAGCAAGTGAAGAAGAGAGAATTGGCAGAATGTGCTTTAGCAAAGCCATTCCCTTGGAGTGTTTGGAGGAGAAAAGCCTGATAGCAGCAGCCAAGGAAATCCCCTCCTTGTTTTCTGCATTGCTTCCCCCAGGAGGTCCTGGTTGGAGATGACCTCGCATTTTCTTGGAGGAGCTGTGCTCCTGCTGCTCAACATGACACCAAGGTCTTCCATGCCACTGCTGCTGAGCCTAGCAAAGCTTGGGCTCATCTGTCTTTGCCACGCCACGCCCACACCACACCCACACCCATATCACACCCCACCCATATCACACCTACACCCCCACCATACTCACACCCACACCACACCAGTGTTCTGGAGTCCCTGTGGCCTCTTTGCCGGGCTGCTGGTGTGGCTCGTGGTCCTTCACTGCTCCAGCCTGGCATGAGCTGGGCAGTGGCAGGGGACACTTGCAGGAAGATTTTGTGTGTAGCCCAGCAAATGTGTGGGGTAACAGGGAGAAAACCTCTGAAAACCCTTTCAGCCCATGGGGCAAACATGGAGTGGAGGATGGGATGACCTGGGAGTGGATACTGGGAATGTGAGCAACAGGGGAATGGGATCCCTCAGTCCCCCCTTGCTGAGAAATGCTCCCCAGCAGCACAGCCCTGCCCAGCACAGCCAGGCTGTTGCTCTGGGGGATGTTTCGGGTGTCTGTTCTGAGTGTCTGGGGTGGTACCACAGTCCTCAGTCGGGTCATTTGCTAAATGCAATGTTGGGCTCTGCTTCCTCACACATCCAATCATTAGAGCTAACACAAACTTTTCCCTTGTGCATGCTCTGCCTCATCAGGTGTCTATTTATTGCCAGTGGCCATGACAATTGAAGGATAGAACTAATTTATTTTCAATACACATTCTTCTGACCGACAGAGTCCGCAAAATGAAGCGTATCTCATGTGAATATTGCTATTTTAAGATACGAGTTTCTGTCAATCTATCTGGCATTCTCTATACACATTTTTTCCACCTTCTTTCCAGTGTATCTATCAGAACAATGTTTAGTGAATAGCTTTGGCTCTTTAGACAAATTAGTCCATTCTCATTTGTTATACAACTTCGACTTTCTTCAAGAAAAAAAGTCAGCATAGTGTGTACTTGCTTCAGAAAAACATTATTTTTCAATTTAACAATTTTTCTAGAGAGTAAAACTTTTCCAAAGTTTGCTCCAGAATCTAAGATGCCATAATGAGATCTGCCATTATGAGATGTGCCATAATGAGATGTGCAATTCAGTGATAACTTGTACACAAAAAGACAGTTCTTCCAGTAGGAAATCAGGTCTCTGTGCAGCCTTCCCATTCTGCACTGGAATATCTCCATTTAGGAGGTGCCTTTGAAGGCCTGAGTGTGGGCACAGGCACAGAGGGAGAGCACGGTTATCATTTTGCTGCTGCTGGTGTCTCGTTGGGTGTCTAAAAGGAGGTGAATTGTTCCTGGCTCAGGTATCTGGCAAACCCTGCCCTTGGGAAATGTAGACCCTCGTTCTACCCAGTGCTTTCCTGGATTAAATTTCTTTATAAGGATTTATAGGTATGGTAGTTCCCTGTTAACAATTTTGGTGTTTGTATTTCCTTTATTTATTAAAAAATGGTAGGATAATGCTTTATATTTTTCAGGAAGTTTCATAGATAGATGCCAGTTGGGATCAATGCTCATGGAAATACTTTCCTGGGTTGGAATGGTTAATAGAGTTAAAATCTAGTGAAAGCTGTGGAGCTTCAGGGGGCCTTTTCATAGTAAACCCAGTTTTAATCCTTTAATACTGTGTGTTGGTTTGGCACAGCCTGGTTTTTGGTAGGGAATAGCTTCTTTGAGAAGCTGCTAGAAACTTCCACCATGTCTGACAGAGCCAATCTCTGGTGGCTCTGAAGATGGACATGCTGCTGGCTTAATTACAGAGGCCTGAAATGCCTCTGTGATGACATATTGAAGAAGAAAATCAAAACACCACC